AAATAGCAATTTTCAGACATTCAGGTGAGGCCACCTGGATGTCTCCAAAGTCATCTTTTTTATAAGATAAACATGAAAAAGTCACTTTTCCCCCAAATCAGCTCAATTCTGTTTCTGAATCTTAGATGAACTGTCCCACAGCACAGCAAGAAGCAACTTGCTGTATCATCTTAAACCTTTCCTCTTCATTATAACTCAGCCCCAACGAGTAGCTGAGATTATAGGAGTCTGCCACCATGCCTGGCTAATTTTGGTATTTTTTTAGTAGAGACAGGGCTTAACCATGTTGGCCAGGTTGATCACGAACTCCTGACCTCAGGGGATCCACCCACCTGAGCCTCCCAAAGTGCTAGGATTACAGGCATGAGCCACTGCGCCCAACCATAAATACTATCTGGAAGCAGCCTTTTGCTACTATCTGCTCATGACTGTAATAATCCTCCTCCATTGGCTGCTGCACACTAGCGCATTTCAGGCTACACTTTCATCTGCACTGCAGCCACGGGACCTTGTGAGCATGCTATTTTAAAAAGAAACAACTTTCCACAAAGAATTCACAGAATAAGAAATAAAAATAGTAAGCAGAGGCTGATTTAGATTAAAAGAGGCATAACAACCAAAATTAGTACATGAAGACTGTTTGGATACAGATTTAAAGCAAATTTTTTTCGGATAACAAGAAATGAGATGTTGTTCAGTAAGAGTGAGGAAACTCGACTAAGGGCTACATATGAGCTGACACCAAAAAATCGTTGTTAATTTTGTCAGATGTGATGAGATAATGGCTGTGTAAGAAAATGTTAATACCATTTGGGGATGCATGCTGAACAGATAAAATGACATGATGACTACAATACGCTTTACAATATTCCTGCAAAGGGAAGTAAAGGAATAGAAGAACAAAATGTGGTACAATCTTAATGATCACAGAAATTGAGGAACGGGTATTTCAGTGTTCATTGTACTATTTTCTCTACTTTTGAATAGGTATAAAAACCGTAATTTTAAAATGTTAAAAAAAAAAAAAAAAAACCACCAGGAGCAGTAGCTCACATCTGTAATCCCAGCACTCTGAGAGGCCGAGGCAGGTGGATCACTTGGGTCAGGAGGTCAAGACCAGCCAGACTAACACATGGTGAAGCCCTGTCTCTACCAAAAATACAAAAAAAAATTAGCCAGATGTGGTGCCAGGCACCTGTAGTCCCAGCTACTCA